AACAGTAATGTAAGTTTATGTGACCTAAATCATTTCTCACGCTATTGTTGTAATTCAGGTAGATCACTTATGAATTTACAAATATTGTAGAAATAAGAAGCCCAACATAAGTTGTTTCGAACCCCACCGATTATTTAAAAAAAAAAAAGACGACATTTTGCATAAATTTCCCAAATAATTGCCAGCAAACCTGCGCCCATAAACCGTGAGAACCCAAAAAATCCTTACTTCTAAAAATATTACAGCAAGAATACTTGAGAAAAACCAAAAAGAAATCTAAAATTTCTGTTCATCTCCTGAAAGCTTCCCGCTCCCTGCCACTTAAAACTGCCCTTGATCTTGCTAGTTACGACCTAATATTAGAAACTTTGAGAACAATGTAATTTCAGAGATTCTGAGCGGAAAAACCGCTTCTGGAAGAATTTCTTGAGACATTTGGCGGGAAGCAGCAATTAAAGAACCGTTTTTGAAAGCTTTTCAGACGGATTAAGGTATTCCATTGCATGAGAGACATTGCAAAAGTATGCCTTTTCACCGTTGCCTAGTCGCGGTATCTAGTCGTAAAATAAGTAAGATGATTTCTGAAAAAAAAAGATTTATGCCTAAAACAGTTCATATTAATTTGCTAGAATAAAAGTTTACTTTTTTACAAAAAAAAACAGTCCTTATGCTTTTAAAACAAAAGTAAGCTTTGTCTTCTTGCTTCAGTATGAGGAAGTTATTTGGTGGTAAATGATCATCAAATTTCGTTTGTCCGCGTTCATCAAAAAGTTTTGAAGAAATAAGTCTTGCTCGTTAAGCCCAACCACAAATCTGGACAGCCCTGAAACACCGGCGCTGCGACTGTGTTCTTAAACGGAATGACACATTTTCCCATTATACAGTAATCTGACTTCGTAGCTTAGAAAAATTCCTGAGCAGAGCACGACCGCATGAGTCGGGGTCAACAGCAAGTACGTCTGCATTTTTCTACCTCACTCCTTATATGGAGCTCCTGAATCTTGGTTTATTTCAAACAGTCATTTCCTTTCATTTAGTTTACCTACACAACATCTTTGCTTCCTTCTCCCCAATTAATTCCGTTCGTTATTTCTTTCCGATCCTTTATTCGACTTTTTGGTTTATATGAGTGTTCCTAATTACTGATTTATCCTTCTTGATTGTTTATAATTTGTTTCTGTTCGTCCAGCTATCCTATAAATGCTTTATTCTGGATTTTTTTTGTCGTGATGGTCGTGAAAGCAATTATTCGGCATTATTCAGCTTACTTTTGGTAAGTTCATTTGTGTGACGCAACCGTTTCCATTTAATTTGAGGAAAACTTCATAAAACTATGCCACTATAAAGCGTAATAATTAGGTTAAGAACAACAGCAACAAATCTTTGGTTGATATCGTTTTTGGTGGCGCTGATTCCCCGTCTACAGTAGGAAGCTGCATCAGTATTCAAATCCCACACGAAATTTTTAGAGAAAGTCTATAAACATGCTCGCCGTCTTCCCTACTGCTGTTAAGTAACTGCAATTAGCCACTGCAACGAAGCATAAAATCCCGGTCGCCGCACAAACTTTCGTGAAACCTCAGAGATTTCTAAGGCAACAGTATCACCAACCAACAAATTATTTCTCCAACAACTAACTGGCATAGAAGCATTAGAGAAAGCATATTCTAAGAAGACTTACATGCAAAAAAGTTTCGTGAGTGCTTTCATAATTAAAGAACAAATAATTTTGTAGGAGAGAGATAACGAGTAAAAACAAGTAATTTCTTATCCCCGCACCCCAGTTTGCTGCAGAAGGTGCTGTAAAAAGACCGTAGAAAAGCAAATATTTCTATCGACCTTCCTAAAATTATTAAATAGATGTAATAAAGTATAAATTTCTTCAAAAACAAAAACTTGTCAAAAAAAAAAACAACAGTTGAGCATGTCACTCCACCCTATTCGTTTCAACTGTCGATGATACTCTGCCATCTTTAACACAAAGAATGGATATTGGCCGCAAAGTACTCAGTTGGCTATGTGTCGCACAAGTTTGCCACACAAAGCAGGACCTCCTCAACATTTTGAAACTTCTCCTGCTTCGGGGAACGTCACACCAGATAGCCTTAGAGCTGTAGGACGGATGAGATAGACCATTTCAACGCAGCTCTCAAACTCTCTGCTTAGTGATCTTGCTTCATGCATCTAAGCATCATCTAGAAAGAGTAGTTATTTTGTGTAAAGATTTGCTGTAGTCACCTGATTCGAATACAGCAGCTTAGAATGGGACAGGGCCATTATGCGACATTCTTTAGTTCCTTAGTCCTGTAATTACTGTCGTAAGCGAACAAGCGTTTAATTGTAGCTTACAGCAAGTTTGTGCTAAACAAAACCCTTTGTGGGACGTGTGGAAAAGATGCTCAAGTAAACTCTTCCAAGAGTTTCAGAAGTTTCTTGGTCAGCCGCAAAACTGGACCCTTAATACGTTCACAAACTATAGAGGACTACCTTCCCACGAAGTCCTCCTGAGAGTCTTCTCAGACTACTGTCAGTTTCTTAACCACTGCCGCCTTCTGCACAGAGTCTCAAATTGGCTCCCCTTCGATCGAAGTAAAAACAGAGCCGAAAAAGCAGCTGTCTCGAAGCAGCACAGAGAAACCCCGGCGACACCAATCTACACTACCTTGCTTGCGTCGTTAGACTCCCTTGGCGCCCATTTCCTATGTCGACCTGTTTTTTTCGATGGAGTTCATATCGCCAATCGTTTCCTCGTCACATCCAAAGATCTCTGCCGTCTTTCGCGTGGTCAGGCAGGTACTCGATGGCTCTTCCTAAGGCGTCGCTGGCGACTTAAGATCGGCGCCCATGCTCTTCATTTGTAACCCCTCAATCCCTCAACTGAGGAGCATTGAATTTGTCACCGATGTTGGCCCTGGAATACCAAAATGACTCAGAAGGCGCTAACCAAATCCTGGCAAAAATTAACGCCCTTAAAATTAAAATTAAAAATTAAAAATTAAAAATTAACGCCCTTCTCAAAATCACGCAAACGAGCATGCGCTTGTACTCCTTCGTTTTCATTTTTTATCATTTTTACTAAAAAAGCAGTGAACTATGAACAAACTGGATATTATCCGACACAAAGAATCCCTTTCCAAATGAACCAGCACCACACTCAAGAAATAGAGCATTCCTATCACCTCCACTCGATAAAACAAACTTCAGCGTAACTGTTTAAACTGTAGAGAGCAGCTAAATGCTTCCCCATAGATTTATCTACGAAAGTTTTACATGAAATTTTGAAATACTCGTTCCTCCTCTGAAAGATTGCTGGCTTGAAAAAAGAATAACCATATTACTCCGGCTGAAAAACACAAATCAGCTTCTATTTCATGAAAAAAACTTCAGTAGAAAGTTTCTACCCGTCGTAGTACCAGGGTTAATTATGGGAAGGAAGAAATAAATAAGTTAACAACAATAGCAAAAAAAAATAACAATCCTGAAGTTGTAAAAGTGAGCGGCTAAAGCACCAACCCACTGCTCCCAGATCATTGTAACAAACACTTAAAGAATGAGCAGCGTGCTGTACAATCCAAAACCATCAAGCTTCACAAGCAAGACCGCCAAAGAAAACTTCACCTGACGTTGCAAGCACAGACCCTGAGTCACACCGTCGTGCAGATACCATTGCAAAGAATGCTACAAATCAAACACTGTCTACCCGTTTCTCAAAGCTCAATGAACCAAACGTTTTTCATAGCAAACAAAATTAAAACCTGTCCCTTGTTTGACTGGAATGAATAAATTACGAGAGGCGAACAGTGAAGTAAAAGCTATTTATCACAAAGAACTGAGCCAGGAATGACCTTAGAAACACTGAAACCTCAAAAACAAATAACGAGATGAGAGATCTAACTGCACAACTTTCTTTTTTTGCTTCTTTCACGATGTCAGGCAAAAAATTCCCAACCTTCAAGAACACGAGCAACAAGGACATTACAATACTTACACTGACATCTTACAGAAGCTCCGCTTACTCAGCAATATCTAAAAAACCTGACAGAACAAAACTCCGCTTAGATAAAACAATTATTCTTGAAATCCATAATATTTTCAAACCCGCAAAAGAGAAGGAAAGAAGTCATGGAATTACGAGTCAAAAAGGATCTAAACAATTCTGCCCACATCAAGAAAGCAAACCACTTTAAAAAATAAACCAAAAATCCCTGAAAAACTCCGTGGTATTCAAAATTGTAGACCAAAAACCTTAAAATCCACACAAGATCATTATCAAAATAATAATAACAATATTAATAATCCCTGACTTTTCAAACATCATATATCTCAAGCTTTTTAAAACAAACAAGAACAAAAAAAAAAACGCTGCGCAAATCGAGACCACATAATAACTACTTGAAAATAACCTGCTGAACAAATTAAGAAGACCTAACTATGAAGCGAGTCATGGAAAAGATAAAACAAGGAATGAGATCTGTAAGAATACCGTGATGATCCCAACAAATTAATTTGGAGGTCATGACGGGAAGTTAATGGTGACACAAATAAAATAACTAACAATAATAATTACTCATGAATCAAAATAAAAAAATTATGCCTCTAAAAAAACGAATTACAAGTCAACAAATAAAACAATATACAACTCCCCTGACTAAACAATCCTCAACAAAAACTGGTTTGCTAGATATCCATTATACACTGTTATATGCAACGGCACTTCAACACTATATAAAACTATCCAGCAAAAATTTCTAAGAGTAACGAATAAAAAAGAAATAAATTTCGAATCAGAAATTAAACATTAACAATCTCTTGAATCCGCACCAAAAAAATGTCACTGTTCTTTCAAAACAATATAAGCTTTAGCAAATATGTACCTCCTTTCAAGCCTGAACTAACTAATATATCCTACGTCATAACAAAATAGCCGATACGGAAATTGGAAAATCTGAGACTCTCTGTCTGAAAATGACGCATCAAAATATACCTAGACAACTACGTGGTCATATCAGTTCCCCATCCTCAGCACAAACTTGTTGAAAAATATCGAAACAACTGACAAGCACTCGCTTCCTAAACCGATCGGCTTGACTATCAGTAAGCTGTGAAGCCAATCCACAAATAGTTGTAACAAAGTTGGCATTACGCGGGTCGTTCATGAGATTTGTCAACGGAGACGAGTACATAGTCTTTTGCTTCAAAAATTTTATCAAATCGGCAGCTCCACGCATCTGCGAAATTATCTCTCTTAAATTTTCACTGTCAGGGAACCTGTTCTGAGGTGGACCTGGAAAACGACATAAAAAGTACAAAAATAAATGAAAACTCTAGAATCTGGTCCAAATAAGACAAAATTTGAGATCTCCAACCACATCCAATAATTCAAGTACAGTAACTTTTAATCAAAAACGTTACTGTTCGTGATGAAAACTTACTGGGCTCGGATATATCATGCATTATTTCATCACGATCTACAGAAAAAATAGACGATGATCCCACTAGATTCGAGCTCCTGTCATTTACAGAAAAACTGAAACAGACCTCAAGTAATTTTTCAAAACTGACAAATGCAAAAGCTTCCATTGGTAAACCGCAAATTAAAAAAATAGACTAAATGAAAAGCTCAAGATAAGCGTACTGCATAAAAAGCACAAAAAAATTGCAATTTCCTGAACATTTTTTGCGTTAACCAAATTAAAACATTAGTAAAACACTTACAGGTTCTGCCACCGGTCACGCAATGCTCCAGTACGCATCCTTTTTTTTTCATGAAGCAATGAAGCCAATGAATTCTGAGAAAAAGTACTAGAAGAACAAACTGCTGAACAGCTGGACGATGAAGTACTTTGCTGTGGATTAGGAACGAACATCAGCAGTGGCTGTGTAGCGCAAACGGTAGTAGAACTTGACGATGTAGGCTGCGCAGATTGGAGATTCTGAGTGTTGTGAGCATTTTTAGAACTCGTTTTTGGTTTTGCAAGCAGTGAATGCAATGTCACATCAGATGCTTTCGAATCCGACGCACTGGCACTACTTGACGAACCTCCTTTCCTGAACTCAACCAAGCATTACTGGAACTGTTTTGGCTATTATCCACTTCAAGTTACCGTCAACACTAGGAATATCCTGTGACACTTACTGAACTGTTTCATCAGGGTCACGCAGAAAAGGTTTCATAAACCACATAGCCTGGAAGTGCGGCCATCGCGAAACATAAGGAGACGATGCCGATGCTTTATTGGCTAGAATACACTCCCTCTCAAACTTTCGAACAACCTTTCGCCAAATATGCCGACAGGCTGTGTCTGAAAAAATAGCAATTAACTCGAAAAGC